AAAATAGTTTTGCATGTGTTCAAAAGGCGCTCGCATAAAAGGCCACTTCTTCAGTCCCAGTCCACCCCTGATAGTAGGCCTACTCATTTATCAACTAGATGCTTTAGTTGTAACTGTTGAGCGCTGATTCAGTTTAAAACATTTTAAAACGTTGTGGACGTCGATGCAAAGCTCACAGAATGGTGAGAAAAATAACAACATAGTCTCTGATGGATGTTGCGTTTGTGCTGTGTGAGTCTGTGTGTCTCCTTTCTACAGAGAAAAAGAGAGTATTGTTGGTTTGGACATCAGGGGTCTGTACCACGAAGCAGAAGACGAAGAACACGAAGATTTCAGTTTGGACTACACACCACATCTGTACTCAGTGTTAATGATGAGAAGTAGGATATTAATACACACCGCTTCGTAAAACATGTTTAGATTTCTTCCTGATTTGTTCCACTGTGGCTGCAATGAAGTCCTGAACACAACAGCATCACGTTCAGACAGCGAGCCCTGCAGCCTCTGTGATTTTAGAGAGGAGACCTTAATTAATTAACGGGACAGTTTCTTAGAAGTAGCCCATCTGTCTATAATTGAATTCTCCTGAGTGTTTTCACATATTTAGATTATTTTACGTGTCCTGATGTTGCAGCCTTGCAAAGTGAAGTTTCTCTCATAAATGTGTGACTATAATGTCAGAGAATATTCAAGTTTTTTACTTGTAGATTAATCTTGGAAATTAAATTCTGTCTGGATTATTCCCCCTCTCCGCTGGCTCCTTTTTTTTCTATTATAATGGACCTTATGTGCAGTTTCATCTTTACATCTTAATAATATTACACATAAAAGAAGAGCCCATAAAATACATAATAGAGATTTTAACTACAAAAAGAACACTGTGAAGATAATTAGGCTACAAATTTACTCCATGTGATGCCAACAAGCCTCCCTGGCTTTGTCATCCGATTTAGCCATTAAAGTGTCTTTACATTCATCATCTGACACAATCAACGTGCGTTCTCCTGGAGAAATACGGAGCATGCGCCGTTGCGAAAAAACTCTGCCTGCAGGGCTGAACACACCCTTTTTATGCGAACACGCACCAACTCCAATTAAGTTAATTTTCTGACTCAACTCACATTTTATCCACCGTCATAGTACCATTTAACATCAGTGTAGGCGGTCAGTTTATCAACCTTGAGTTTGCCTGATAACCCCGAGTTAACTCTGAGTAGGTTAAACTACCTTCGAACTACAGGCCCCTGGTCTTGGTCCCGCACTGCTCGTTAACTACTGTTTAAATGTTGGCTTGTTCTGTTCAGTCCTTGTTGCTTGAGTTTTCTGTCCCGCCTCTCTGTTTCCCTCATCGTTGGATAACTTTGCCTTCTTGAATTTACTCCCTTTGTTTGGACATGTAAGCCAGTTTCTTTATTAATATATCCCCTGAACTGCATCTTCGATCATGTCTGCATTTGGGTCCACACCTCCAGCTAACCTGCAACTGCACTCAGCCTCAACCTTGATAAAAAGTCCAGTGAGCTCTGTCTGATATGTGCTGGGTCCAGGCTACAAGGAAAATAGCACTCATGACTCTTCCCAGGACAAACCCGGGGCCCAGTGTGCTGGTAGTCTTCTCCATCCCTGTCTTGATAGGTGACAGAAAAAGCATGGTGAATGTGTGAAACAGGAAGCACTCAACATATCCTGCAAGTTTAGTATTGATTCCTCGTCAGCCGCAGCCTGTCGCAAGAAGTGGGCCAGATAATGTTTTTAACACACTAAATTTAAGCTTCATTGAACATATTTGGCAGGAAAAAAAAGGTAATCATCAAGGATTTTATGATCATCTTAGTTACATGTTTTTAAATGAAACTTGGTTGGACCAAGACAACAAACTTTTTTGATGACTTTGGTGAACTGCTGTTGTCGTGGCGTCTCTTTCAGTTGTCGTGATGTTCCTCCTGACTTCCAATAGATTATCCTACATTACGGTCACTAATACAGTAGAAAGAATACCTAGTAGGAACAATTACAAAGACGCATACATCGTACAAAAGTGAGTAGTTTTTATTACAAAGTATATTGTTAAACGGCATGAGTAAAATTAGCCTGACACTAAATTGGTTGGAGTTATTCTCCTCAGGGTAGGAAGGTCAGGTCGGCTCGTACACACCACCCCGATCAGCGACTGTGGGAGACAGAAGAGGGAGACAGCAGACCCAACGCAAAGAAGTACATGCACTATCCACTTAAGATCTAGACTATTCACTACAAAATACCATGCAGTGTGAGTGTTGAGTAAACACACACTACAGAATCTCCCCCGGTGCAGTCTCACCACAGACACGGACGCAGCCTTGTACAGAGTCAAGCTGTGGATGTACAGAGAGAGGAGAGCAACCTGTATTTAAACCACCATCCAAACTATGAACCCCAGTAGAGGCCCAGTATGGAACATCAATTCCAGTCCCAGCGGGGCACTAAACCGAGCAACAGACACCTTAACACTGGACTGGAAAACAAATTAAGAAACAAAAGATAAAACAATAGAAAACAGTGGCTTGCCTGGTCCACCTTTAAAAACAAACAAAGGACATTAGTTGCAAGTTCCAAAATTACATTGCCTCGCATGTAATTAAGAGGAGATTAAAATATAAGCCTACTTTGCAGGGTTACACAAAGTCCTGTAGCACAGTAATGCAGCAGGAAGGAGGGAGTATTTCCGGATCCCTGCATCCACAGCAGCTGATGTGTGGCCACGTCAGCTGTAGTCATCAATTTTCTCCAGTTCCCTCCATGGCAGGGATGGGACGCTCCATACTGACGTGTGGACGCTGAAGCACAGACGTTTCGAAACACCGCTCCAAAGCAAAACGCCAATGTCACGTGACGGCAGTGAAGCGAGGCTTCGGTGTGATTCACCCCTGTTTCCACAGGTGGCGCAGCTGCAGCTTCTACGCTTGATTCACAGTGTTTGGAACAAACACATCAGCCTCTAATTTGACAGATCTGTTCCAAGGATTTATTGGAGCGACCTGCTGTAGTATATCCGCACCTGCAGGCCAAAAAATACTCTTTGACAGCAACAAATGTTCCATGTGACCAAACATTTCCAAGGCTCGGGATGTCAATTATGAAAATAAAAAAAACAGACTCAGCCTCAAAACAGCAGAATATTTCTGAATAAAATTCTTGACATATAACAAATGTGAGACATTGTTCCACTTTTCATTTATCATTCTTGAAACAACTTCAACTTTACTCAGTTACGGATATTTAATCCATTACACCTCATCACTGCCAGCACTCATTATTAATAATTATAACACTAGGGCCTGTATCTTTCCTGCTAATTATCATTACACCTCTGTTAATGAGCTACTGTGTAATACTGTAGATATCCACATTTATTACTATATTCTTAGATTTGTATACTAACTTCAACAACCTATTATTTCTATTCCATTTATGCCTTGCGAGTATCTGCAACAAAGAATTCACCGTCGTAGATCAATAAAGTATTCTGGTTGTGAAAGTGGATAGGATAGTGGTTAAGACATATGTCTTTAGTGTGAGAGACGTGGTTTCGATTCCCACTGTGATACATGTGTCCCTGAGCAAGACACTGACTGAAAAGCGTCAGCTACATGAGTGATTACTTATGTAACAACACACAGATGTGTTTTATTAAACACATTTTTATTGCAGTCCCCATCACAGCACAATTGCTTCAAACGTTTCAGTGTTTCACAAAGTCTCGCTCAGCCCATCACTGGAGGACGGGACACTCACATCTGGCTGTCACCCTGCATAAGAGGTAGAGTGCTCCCCACAAGATGTGCTCAGTGGAAAGCAAGAGACTCTCCCCTGAGACTAGCAAGCCTGATTAGCTGCAGGTCATGTGACCTTGTCATGTGACCATGCATGTGCACTCATGTGACTATGCATGTGCACCAATCACCTACATTACAGCACAGATGGTGTCTAAACTTTTCAGTGTCTACTGCAGCATGTCCTTTCTTTGATGAGAAATGTAATAGTATTTAAGATCTAACCATCGCCTTTAAGAAGGAAACATATATTACAGAAATAAACCTCTGTGACCTCTAAGAGAATTAGATGTGAATACCTCAGATTCCCTGAACCACATAAAGCTATAGAAGAATCATTTTAAAACAATGCATGATATATATATATATATCCCTGCAAAGACTAAGATTTATTGTTCTGCTATACAGAAATAGAAACAACTGAACATCTAATGTTCTCTTGTAAGAAGAGATAGATCTGACCGTATCAACCTGGACTTAGTAATGTTAACTTGAGTTTTATAACGGAGGACAAAAAATGGGAATTTTTATGCAAAACCTGAGAATTTTAGCAAAATATTTTTACACAAATGTAAATTGTTAAAAACATTTCACTGTTTTTCTGAAAGTCTTTTATTTAGATTCAGTGAAGATAGTTAAATCTAAGAAGGCTGTTTTACTTTAAACACATGTCAGATTTGTCTTTTAGTTGGACCCCAACCAGAGGTTAAAATGGATTGTTTTTATGTTTATTTCTCTCACGCCAACAAAAAGTCTCTTGGCTTAGTGTTTTTGTCTGACTCTGCGCTGCGGTTTTGACCCGTCCTTCACCTGGAAGCGTTTCAGCAGAGGAGCGTTCAGCCTGCCCCACCTTGTTGACTTCATTTGTCATTTTGTGGGCTTCTACAACTGATCACAGCGCTCTGTGAACCGTTTCCCCCCAGTTCCCTGCAGGAATGGAGCATTTCAGAATAAGAGCGTTTTGCCTGCCTGATTTTCCTGTTTAATCACATCAGCCCACCTACAGGCTCCAAACACCGACGTAGCGTCACTGATGGCCGAATAATAGGGTTTATAATAAGAGCCTTAAGCTGTTCTGCGTTGTGTTTGTATGGCGAAATAAATTCCTGACCAGATATTGTACTATTGTGAATTGTGAATGTAAATAAAGAAAAAAAACCTCACGTCCGACGGGATGTCGCAGGGTTTTGACGTCATTGTGGGGCCTACATGGGGCCGTCCGTGCAGGTTTCGGTCTGCTTCACTGTTGTGTCTTAACCTCCTTTATTGCAGCTGGACACTTCACTGAAAAAGCGTTCACGGCTCCACCGCTGCCGTTTAAATTACGTTAACTTGGTCCAGCTTTCCCGGAAAACGCGTTTCCAGCCCGAACTTCCGGTCGGGCGGGTCCGCGGTCCACAGCAACTAAAGAGCAGGAAGAGGAACTCGGTCTGGTTTCAATTCATCTGGACTGCAGATCTGCCGTCATGGCTGGATTAACATTTGCACCATTCGTGACTTTCTTGTTATGTTCATGGATCTTTGTTCTGTGTCAAGGTGAGAGAGAGAGAGAGAGAGAGAGGGTGAGAGAGAGACAGAGAGACAGAGAGACAGAGAGAGAGTGAGAGACAGAGAGAGAGACAGAGAGAGAGACAGAGAGAGAGAGAGAGAGAGAGA